CAAGGCTATGAGCTGACAGATTTGTGAGTTGAAGAGATCGCTGTGACTTACAAGTGGAGGACGACATGGAAGGGCCAGGGGCTGGAGGCAGGACAGGAGTCAGGAAGCTGCAGGAGGGTGGGTCTGAGGGACACAAAGGTGTCTGGAAACCAGGATAGTGGGCATGGAGACAGAGGGCAAAGGGTGGAGTCTAGACAGAGTCATGGAGTAGAATGCTAATCCAACCAACAGGAGTTTAATAACAGAAGCCAACATTTATTGAGCACTTACCGCATGCAAGGCCCTGTGACTTGGGGCTTTCCACCAACATGTAGATAACTCAGTTAATCTTTCCATCAACCCTCTGGGACAGGTTCTTTCATTATGCGCCCATTTTAGAGGTGAAGAGGCTGAGAAACTGACTAGAAGACACTTGGTTTGTGACTTACATTACTGGCTGGGGAGCTGGAGCAGGAGAGGCTGCAGTACCATTCAAAGACACATGGACACCTGTCAAAGCATCGTGGGAAGGTGAAGATCACCGAATGGGGGACACACCATGGTGAGGAGTGCCTGGGGTGGCCAGAGGGGAACGCACCAAGCCCTTCTGCCCTGCTCATGGGTCTCCTTCACATGTTCCCATGATTCAAAGTGGGGCGCTGACCTGGGGCAGTGTGCTCTGAGGTGGGGGCGAGCTGCCCAGGAAGTCCCTATTAGCACCCTCGTCCCCAGTCCCTCCACATGCCAAGCCAAGAGCCCAGTGTCAGCTGGGACCCAAGGGAGGACCAAAGTCTCTGGCTGGGCAACTCATCCCAGCTGCCAGGTGACGACCCTCCCCAGGGGGTTGGGGGAGAGGAGGACTACATCAGGAGGACTCTATCAGGTCCCGAACAGGTGGGGACAAGGAGGGGAGACAGACCTGGCATCAAAGGAGAGCTGAGCAGTGGGGTGGATGGAGGTGGGGCTTCCCAAGCTTGGGGTCACTGGCATTTCATTGGAAAGTCAAGTGACTTTGGGGCACAGATGCTCCCCGACCCCGCCACACACAGGACACTCTCTGGCCTGTAGCACAGGACACACCATTGGTGATATGTGACCTGACACCAAACGATGATCCTGATGACAACATGAACATCAAAGATAAAAGCCAAGAGCCTCAGACCTGTGCTGGCCCCCAGGGAAAAGAGGAGGGCAGTTTTCAAGGCTGGGCTGCCCCAGTCTGCTCGCACATGACCCTGCCTGCTCCCACACCTCCACAGTTTTGCATGCTAGCACTGCCGTCCCCTGCCATCCTCCCATCTAATTCCTACTTGCCCCTCAAAGTCCGTCCCCAAGTTACCTCCTCCGGGATAGTTCTTACTCTCAGTCCCAGGAAGCCCCTTCACGGCCCTTACCACAAAGTGTCATAGTCATCTTTTGCTTATGTGTGTCTGGGGCATGACCCGTCACCCCAGAGACAAGTTGGGCTCATCATGCTCCAGCTCACCTCCCTACCCCTCACTCCCTCAGCCTTGGAACCCAGGAACCAGCAGGAGAGAGGGGCCAGCGAACCAGCAGCTCCAGCTAGCGCTGTCACCTCCGAGGAGCTCAGATGGAGCCTCCCACCCCCCCAGTTAGCCCCTATCTCCCAGGGCCACCACTAAGGCCTGCAGTCGGGTGGCCTCACTGTTCACCAACAACCAACTGGCCTGGGCTAGAGCAATATTTCCACTGAGGATGGGAAACAGGGGGCAAAACCACTCACTAAGGTGGCTCAGAAGTCCCGGGAGATGAAGGCAGCAGGGAGCAAGTGGGTCTGAGTTTCACCTCCCTCAAGGCACACACACAGAGGTAACCCAAAGCCTCTCTCACATACAAGTCCACACAGCCACACTGACACCAGGTTCCTGCACACAGCTCCTGCCTCACACTCGCCTCACATACACACAGGGTCTCTGTCACACATGGAGCTCCCAGCCCACACAGCCTGACACACAGATGGTCTCGTGCATGCGGGCTTACATGCAGAGCTTCCCAGTGTCCCACCCGCCACGTACAGAAATACACTCACCTCAAGTCTCTCACACCCTCCCCAAGAATCCTTCTCTCTCTCACATGCACAGAGCACCTCTCTGACACATACAGTCCCCTCTCTCTCTTATATACGCACTCTCTCCCACACAGGCTCACTCTCACACACAAAGTCCATCTCTCAAAACCCACAGAATCTGTCTTTTTCACATTCACACGGGATTACTCTGATACAGAAACACAGAATTTCTCTCACGTAGTCAATCTCAACACACACACCCACCCCCAGAGTCTCACTCACACATGCTTTTATTCTCATGTGGCCTTTCTCTCTCTCTCTCTCTCACACACACACATGAAGAACCTCTCACACCCACACAGAATCTCTCTTACACAGATTCTCACACATACGGCTTGTCTTTCACACACACCTACAGTGTCACACACAGGATTCTGGTCTGGAATCCCGAATAAACATTTAAATCCCGGCCTCGAAATCTGAGGCGGCCTGGGGCCCGCGAGGGGGAGGGGTAAACAAAGGTGACGGAGGCGGCGGAGGAGCCGAGATGGAGGAGGGAGAGCGGGCGGGCGGGCAGCCGGCTGGGCTCTGCGCAGATGAGCCGCAGAGAGGCAGCGCAATGCAGCTAGGCCAGCCGGGCGTGCAGCGGGAAGCCTGGGTTCTAATCCAGGCTCTGCCCTCACTTCCTGTGTGCCCTTGGGCAGGCCCAGTGTCCTCAGCTGTCACCCAAGGGAGCTGGAACAACTCTCTGTGGCCACTGGGGAGAGAATGTCGCACAGACAGGCTGAGGGGGGCACCTTCTAAGCATCCCCCCACACCCCACCCCCAACCACTGCTCAACTTTTCCCTCAGAGTCTGCTCTTCAGTGGACACTGGAGAGAACCAGGACTTTTCTGTAAGATTCTGTAAGATTCATGACCCCTTTAGCCAACTCATGTATCTGCATGGGGGAATGGCCAGTGGGAGGAGATGGACGGGGCAGGGGGCTAGAATATGTCCCACGTGACCCCTGCCTATCCTGAAACTTCAGGGGCTAGGGTCAGAGCCCTAAAGCTGACCCCAGGGGTGGGGTGGAGGGATGCAGCCTCTTGCTAGGGCGCCAGAAGGTGGAGAGGACCATATGGAAGTTGGGCCTACTCTTTGCTTCTGGGGCAAAGTGGGTGGTGGGGTGGTAGTAAGATGCTTCCCAAGGTCAAATGCAGGCTAATGGGCAGCTGCTCTAACCTCGGCCTCTGCTCCTCCTGCCCCCTGCCCCCACATGCACCAGTTCAACCTCCCAGTCCCCTTTCTCCTGCCCCTCCTCACAGCTCAGCTACAGCCTCCAGTTACATAATCCCCTGGCTAAGGTGGCCTCTGTCAGGAGAGGGGAGAGGGGGGAGACCTCTGAGGATCCCAGTCTCCTCTGGAGATGGCAGGGAGCTGGTGGCCAGCTGAGTGGAGGACGGGGTCCCAGGAGACTTGGGTCCCAGTACACCATGGCCTCTAATTCCCTGGGTGACCTTGGGCAGGCTTTTCAAAACAGAGGGTTTAACTCTCTATTACTGCACCTCCACACACCCCCTGCCCGCCCCAAACACACACATAGCTGATCTAGGATTTAATATATAAGACCTGTTGCCCTCTCCCTCAGATGCTAAAACACTGAGTATTTTATATCAGTAACACATCCATCAGGCCTGTGCCTAAACACAGCCTTTTCCTGCTGTGGACGCTTCAGTGCCCCCGGGTTCCTTCTCCCCACTGAAGTCAGCCAGGCAGGCACTCCTGCTCCCTCCCCTGCCCGAACCTCCCTCCCTGGGCTCTGGATGGCAGGAGGGAAGGGGTGTGGAGCAGTAAAGGAGATGGGGCATTGCAGGTAATGTCTTGCCTGGGAGAGGATTAGGGGGTGGCTCACATATGGGGGAGGGACTCTGCTTTAAATTCCCAGCTCTGACCCTTCCCCTCTGTTCAGGTATCTGAGGGCAGAGCCTAGCAAAGGCAAAAGGGGTTTCTTCCAGGGTAGGTAGCTGCTACCCCGTATCCCTTTCGGGCTCAGTTAAGCAGCAAAGACCTTCAGAATTCACCAAATCCCCTCTCTCACTTTACATCTGAGGGAACTGATCGGAGGAGCCACACGATGGGCCAAGGTGGGCCGCAGGGTGCCCTTTCTCCCTGGCAACAAGCTGCTGTCATTAAAGGGGAGTGGCTGATGAAGACACACCTCCTTCTCACAGGCCTATAGACCCCCTCTCGGTCCCCACAGGTCTTAGAGGAAGCACAGGCAGAAGCCCAGAGGTCCCCTTCAGCCCTCTCTCCTTTTGACAAGGAAGAAAGGCAGGCTCTGTTTCCAGGAACAGGTCTCAGAAGGATCACACCCTCCCCCCTCCCCATCTATCAGTTAATTAGCCATAAAGACTGCCCCAAAAAAAAAAAAAAAAAAAAAAAAAAGACTGCCCCTCGACCATCTCCCTGGGATGGTCCTGAGTCTGCTCCCCAGGGTGGGGTGGTCCATCTCAGGCAGCAGATCAGGTCTCAAGCCCTCTTCTGTGGGCCCTGGCTGGTCCCACATGCCCCATACCTGGGAGAGAGGAAGGACTCCTGCTTCCCTCCCCACACCAAAATCTAAAGGACAGTTCAGAGCTTCATCTGTACATCTGCAGAGACGGCAGTGTGCATACACAGGCACGCCTGCACACTCAAACATACACACATGCTCACTCATTCTCACCACACACCTTACCCACCCAAATATACACTTACACAAATATGCGCACACTATCAACTCACGCACACAAACACACCCATTCATACTCACTTAAACAGACTAAATTCAGAAATACACAGACCTTTACATAAGTACAAAGCTAGCCACCCTTGAGGAGAGTCACTGTCTCTGACACAGGCGCAGAAACACCCTCCTTTCTGCTTTGACTCCCCGGGCACCAGTTCTCGGATCCAACCCTGCCCGCTGCCTTTCCCGCCCCACTCTTCTCATGGGTAAGTTGTCACTTACCCTCGCGTAGCGGGATGAGTAGGGGTCCTCGAAGAGGGCCCAGATGCGCGGCTGCCAGCGGCGCCAGAAGCCGCCAGGCCGTCCGTCTGGGGAGTCGCTGAGCGCCAGGCGCTTGGTCATCTCCAACTCGTCCTCGCCGTCGCCTGAGTCGCCGGGGCCGTCGGCGTCCGCGTCGTCCGCGCTGTTGTCCAGGGGCGCGCCGCCGAAGCTGTCCAGCGCCTCCTCGGCGTCGCGGTGTTGGCGGTAAGTCATCCAGCAGCAGGGCTCCACGTCGGTCTCGTCGATGCCCCAGAAGGCCAGCTCCTCCTCGTAGAGTGGCCCGCACACGTCGGCCGGGCAGTGCAGCTTGCCCGTGCGGTAGTAGTTCAGGATGTGCGCGAAGACGCCGGGGTGGCGGTCGAAAAAGAACTCGTCTGCGCGCGGGTCATAGTCGAAGTGGCTGTGGGCGTCGGGCTCCGCCAGCCAGGCGAGCCGCGTGCCGGGCAGCGTGCGCAGCGTCGAGCGGTACGTCTGGTGGCGCGTGCCGCCCACGTTGATCACGATGCGCTCGCTTTCGTCCCCTTGGCCCATCGCGGCGCCTCCTTAGGCATGGCGCGGCCCAGGGACACCCATGGGAGCGGCCGCCAGGGGGAGTTGGCGCCGGGGAGGGAGGCGCGCGGCCTCCTCCCCCCTCCCCCCAGCCGTCGGGGGGACAGAGGACCGCGGTTCCGGCTACTCCGAGAGCAACCCAAGCCCTTCAGGGCGCTTTCTGGCGGGTGCTGGTCCAAGGGAGTGTGCGCGGGATCCCCAGGGTCTCCGGGAGCCAGATGTGGGAGGGAGCTAGTCCGGCTGCGGAGGAGGCAGAGGAGGAAAGAAGGGAGGGAGGGAGAGAGGGAAGGGGTGGGTGGGGGGGCAGGCGGCGCTCAGCGGCGAGCCCCAGGAGGAGGGAAAAGAGGGTGGGGGGGCCGGGCTCCCGTCCCCATCTCAGCGGGAAGATAGAGAAATCGACACAAAGCTATCGGGGGGAAGGTCAGCTGCTTCCAGGGCCGGACATAGATCAGCTCCTGGAAGGGGGAGGGGAAGGGAAAAGAGGGAGCCGGGAAACTCGCGCTCTGCTGTGAGGTGGTCGTCGCAGCGCGCTCTCGGCGCGGGGGAGATGGATGCCCGCTGCCTTCCTCCCTGCGTGGCCCGGCTGCAGCTCGGGGCGCAGGGCGGACTCCGGCCCCCTCCCTCTCCTTGCCTGGCTGCCTGCTCCCCCCGGCGGCAGGCGCGCCTGTCCGCTCGCCCGCCCTCCTCGCTCCTTCTCCCCGCCTCTCGGAGGAGATGGCGGGCCCCCTGGGCAGGGGCACCAGGGGTGCTCTTCGGTGCTGCTGCCGCGGAGCGCTGCACTCCGTGCGCTCCGGCTGGATCTGGGGCTCTCCTCTGGATTGCGCTCCGACTCGGGCTCCGGCTCCGGCTCCGGCTCCGGCGGCGGTGCTGAAGGGACAGCTCCCGGACCGTTGCGGAGCTGCGCGGGGCCGGGCTAGGGCTCTCCCGACTGGGCTCCGTCTGCGGGGCCGGCGGGCACTGATTCCGGTGCCTCTGCGCCCTGCGCTCTGCGCCCTGCTTCGGACAGGCGGTTGGCGCTGTTGACCGAGGCGAGGGGGCTGCGGCGGTCGGGCCGGGGAGGCGAGGGTGGCGGGTCTGGGCGCGGCGAGGCAAGGTTGGTGAGGCCGGGGAGGCGAGGCGCGGAGCGGCCGCCGCCGCCGCCCGCGACGCTGCTGCTGCCGGGGCTGCTGCTGGGCTTAGCTGGCTCGCTTGCTCGCTCGCGCGGTCCGCGTCCAGCCCGCCGCTCTCCGGACACGGGCACACGGCGCGCGCAGCCGCACTCGCCCCCGGAGGGAGGCGCCGCGCTGGGTCCTAAAAAGCCCTGATTCCGCGCCCCTCTCCCAGCCCGGAGCGGAGCCCGGCCTCCTTCAACCCCGGCGCTGGGGGCTCCAGCCGGGCACCCATCCTGCGGCTCCCGGGGAGGGGGGCGGAGAGGAACCCGCCAACGCTCCGCCCTGGGGAGCGCCACTCAGTGGGTGGGGGATCTGGCAGACGTCTCGACCCGCGCCCCTGGGTCAGATTAAGGTGAGAAGGCGGTTTGGTACCCGCCTTTATCTTTCCCAACTAGGGACTGTCTTGATTCCCTAGTGAAATGAGACACCCTTGACCGCTATCAGAGACACCTCGATCCGGATGGCTCCAAACAGTTCTTTAATATCGACCTTTCCAGGGAACCTGGAGTCCCCATGTCGCTTTCATAGGTACCCTATTGCATGGATTCCAAAATAACACTTTCCGTGCTCCCCTATACACTACACACACCTCCACTAGGCTGTGTTGTCCTCTAAGCCATCTACTAACAACCTGATAATCCTGGACCCCTATTAACCCCTTTCGACCCTTTTCTGACCCTGGGCCCTTCTTAACTCCAGGCTGACCCTAGTCTCCCACGAGTGCCTCATGCTGTGCATATTGATCCCAGCTCACTGATCCTCCCACACTAGCCCAGGATCCTTAGTGGGGATTCTGTCCTTAGAGGTGAGAAGAAGCAACTCCTTCTAGTGGTCCTGAACATTGACAGGCCGCCTTTCTCGCAGGGTTTCAGCTGCACTGGAGGGGATGCTGATGCAATATCTGGGAGCTATATAGGAGCAGCTCCCCTGCGGTGATTCTGGGTTTCACCGTTGATGCTGGGGTGGGAGCTGCAGTTTGGGCCCCCAAGCCTTCTCAGCCCATGTTTGCTGGTAGTCCCTCAATTTACTCATGAAGCCATCACCCCTTCACGCCTCACTTGTTCCAGGCTTGGTCCCAGGCAGAGAGGCACAAGCCCCTCCAGGGGCTCCAGGCTGTCAGGGAAGTGGGCAGGTGGGCCAGGACAGGGCTGGGGAGGTCAGGCCCAGCTCCAGGGGTGGCTGCGTTGGGAAAGAGACTTATTGATCGAGCCCAGCCCAATCGAACACAAGGCTGCCTGGGCAAAGGGTGATTTAATTAAGAAGACATGAGGCTCTTACTTACCTGTCGGCACTTGCTCACTGTGCAGACAGCTGTCCCTCAACACTGATCCACAGACCTGGTTGTGGACCTGGGGACGAAGCTGTGCTGCAGGCATCTCTGTCCTCACTTGCCAGGGGAATCCCAGCCCAGCTCCAGCAAAAGTTGTGTGTGCTGGGGCAAAGGTCTGGAGGAACGGAGAGGGTTGGAGAGGAGCAAGGGGCAGAGCAAGGGATGCAGGGTCATGGAAGGACAACTGAGAGACAGAGGCAGAGTTATGGCAGAAACAAGGGCAGAGATGGGCAGAGGCTCAGAGAGAATGGGGCCAGGATGGCACTTCCTCCCTCCAGAGATTGATTTGTATTCTTCTTCTAAAGGGGAGATGTTTCCCCTTCGATACGAAGACTTCTAAGTAATACGAAAGTGAGAGTGCTTTTCAGTGTCCTCCTCTCCTGATCAGTGTGAATCCCACCCCCTACCCAAGAGGAGGCGGGACCTGGTGCAGCCCAGGTTGGCCCAAATTCAGATTCCCAGGACATAGTTCTCTCAGAAAGTTCTGCCTCAATCCAAGGAGGTGATAAAATGGAGAAACAGAGTCCCCAGAAGGAACAGAAAAAGATGGATACAGAGTGATTCTGCCAACCAGGCGGCACAGGACTCCACCTCTTCCCTCTCTTGCAGGACCACACGAATCAGAGTGTGGCTCCTTAATCTTCACTGTAGCTGACTTCACTTCCTCAGAAAAAGAACTCTCAGCTCCACCAGGGCTCCTTCTTGCTTGCTTCTCTGCACAGTGCACAGAGCCACAGTAGCTTCTCATTAAGGGCTGGATGATTTGAGAAAGGCCAGGAGAGGGGCTGGGATCCTAGAATCCTCGTGTGAGAGGCCATAGGAGTCTGGAGCCCTAAACCAGGGCTGAGTCAAGGGGAAACCCACCCAGGTTTTCTTGGGAAGTCAGTGCAGACCCCACCTCAGGCTTCTACCCCGTGGTGAACCATAATGGGCAACTAAAGCATGCCCCAGGGGGTGGGCCGAAGCAGAGGGAGAGGCAGAGAGAGGCAAAGGGTGCTTAGAAGAGGAAGCTGGAAGAAACCCTGGTCAGGCCTGGCTCTGTAGGGCTAGAAAAAGAGGCAGGACAGGGCTGGAGGGAGGGGGAGTGTGAAAGTGTATCCACCGCACCTAAAATCCCCTACAAGGTAAGCAGAGTGGGCTCAGAGAGAGGAGCCTCCCAGGTGGGAGAGAGTAGCTGCCCATGAGGTGCCCTATGCTGTCCCACCTTCATCCTTGATGACACTCCGAGGCCCGAAAGGATGCCCCCCTTCTCTATCCTAAGCAGGGACATAAAAGTTCCTTCTCTCACTTCCTCTTCACACTGTGAGAAGGCTGGCATTTGCATAAAGCCCAGAAAAACCAAGAGGGCATCGTGGGTGGGGGGAAGGGAAATAACTCCAGAGAAATGGGGGTTGGGAGGAGGAACCACTGAACAGAGCCTGTTACCCACAAGACTAACCACAGACCCTCAGCCCAGATGAGAAGCCCACCACTTTTGAGCTGTCCCTCTTACTCATAGACATTTGCTCCCTCCCTTGCAGAGGAATCACTGGTGCTATGCAGAGTGTCTTTGGTATCAGTGGCTGATACTAAAAAGTATACAGGCGGGGCTCGGGGTACAGTGAACTAACAGTGGGGTGATATTACTCAGTGGTCAAGAGCATAAACTTTGGAGCCAAATTATCTGCGTTCAAATCCTAGCTCCGCCATTGATTAGCTATGACCTTGGGCAAATTACTCAACTTCTCTGTGTCAGTTTCTTTATTGATGAATAACAATAAGCCCTATATTATAACACCTCAGCTCTGTCATTTCTCTTGTTGAGGCTGGAGGAGAGGGTTGATGGGAGTGATGAAGAATGAGCTAAGGCAGGATATGTGCTAGAAAGAGGTGAAGGGAGTCCTGAAGCCAAGTTTGGCCTGTGTTCTCACACCTGGCACTTGCAGGCCTTAGATCTGGTCCCTCTAGGCTCTGGAACTGGCCCAAGTCCACCCCCCGCAGGCCTTGATACAGGTTGGCCCATCCCACAAGCTCTCTCCCAGGCCAAGAGCCTTCACATTCCTGGTGGGTTGGGGTGCCATCTTGTGGCCTAATCTGAAAACTAACCTAACCAGGGCACAGAGCAGGCTTCGGGGAGATAAGCCTGTATCTCTTCTGCAGATCAGAACTCCTCCCTCCAATGGACAGGGGAGGGTGAAACTAGAGGTACCATAGTTGGAAACTGGTGGCGGTGGCTGTCAGATCTGTAGCTTGAGAACTGAACCTGGTGCCTAAGCTGGGAAGTGGGGTGTACAGTTGCTTTTTTCCTGTGATCCCTGGGCGAGTGGATCTCAGATCTTAGTCTAGCCAAAGTCTAGAAAAGGGCCAAGGTAAAGAATCTTCCAGGGAAGTGCTAGAGCGGGGTTTGTCAATCTCTGCACTATTGACATTTTGGATCATATCCTTTGTCGTGGGGCTGTCCTAGGAGATTTAGTAGCATTCCTGGCCTCTACCCACTAGATGTCAGTAGAAAGTGAAAGTCGCTCAGTCGTGTCCTACTCTTTGCGACCCCATA